CCCGACCGTGGGAAAACTTTTAACAGCTGAAAAAATTAATAGCAAAATCTGCAAAGACTTTAGTTTTAGTGAAAAGTAAGACTAAGGGATCTGACTTTGTTCAAATGGAACCTCTAACATTAATCATATACCTCTTAAGAGATCTTTGAAATCTGTACTAATTTGTATTATCCTCTGATTTAGTCAGAGCCCAAGGGAAATGGCAGCATCAACAAGAGACTCCCATCCATTGTGGAAGACGAAGAAGAGGAGGAAGAGGAGGAAGAGGAGACAGCCTCCTTCTCTCCCATCTACACAAGGGGATCATCCTCTTCACGTAGTAAGAAGGTTGGAAGCAATAAAAGCTATCTAGGCTTAAGCTTAAAGCAGCTGGCCTCAGGAACAGTGCCATTTCACTCACCTATCAGAGTCTCCAGTTCAAATTCCCCCAAAACCAAGCAGGAAACTGACCCCCGAAACCATGGGAAAAGGAAAGAGAAGAACTTGAAATTGCAACTTTCAACTTTAAACAGTGCTGGACCCCCAGACCTCAGTCCAAGGTAAGAGTTCACATCATATAATTCTTTCCTGGGTGAAAGTGGTTGCTTTTTGTACAGATTAGTTGCCTAGGAAATCATTCAGCCTTCTGGGCCTTTCTACTGCACAGGTTCCTAGCCTGGATTCTTCAGTTTTCTTGAATTTTATGTGAAGTGTTTTGAGTATATATGCAGGTATGTGTGTAGTATGGGAATAAATAGTTTTAGTCATATTCTCAAAAGAGTCTATTAAATTTTCAAAATTCCTTCTCTACTCCTTTTATTCATTTAGCTCTACCTATTATGTTAAATGTGTATTGCTACATTGTGATTTTACAATTTATAAATTTATAACGAAAATAAAAGAGATGGAACAAACACCATCAATGTTATCCCCTCAATGCCTGATCTTACCAAAAGTTTCATGGAGCAATGAGTTGAAATTATGAAGAAACAAAATGCTGAGTTTTATTTTCCATACAATATTTGCCTTATCATTGTAGGTGGCTGAAGCTTTGTTCTATTTCTGGTCTCTTCAGTAGGTGAGGTGTCATGGCTTTATTTTTAATTTTAAAAAAATTACTTTAGAATCAACTAGAGGTGACTGAGGGTAAAAATTCCTGACTTGAAAAATGTGAAAGGGGTTTGGCCATAGCGCATGATAGCAGTAACCATCATCAAAATCACATAATAGCTGGGTACTAAATAGAAGCAAGAAAAAAGTTTGAGTGCTGTCTCTGTTCCATGTACTTTGCTAGATAATTTCACATTCACTATTGCATTTATTCTTCTCAGAAGCTTATAAAGTAGTTCATGTTATCTCTGTTATAAAGTTGTATTAATAAGAATTGAAACTCCAAGGTTAAATATTTTGTCCAAGATCTCAGCGATATTAAGTACTGAAAGCTGGATTCAAATTCTGTTTTTCTACTTTTAAAGCGAGCGATCTTTCTGATATATTATACATTTAATTATTCATTTGAAAAAACATAGCTTATCCATTTAGAAAGAATACTAAGAAAATAAGCAACACAGGTTTAGTGAAAAGGAGGTGAATAGGAAATTTTCAGGATTTCGGTTGGAGATGGCAACTTGAAAATATTGCTTAATTCTTCTTCCTAAATGTTTACTAATATTAAAAATAATAAATTATAAATAGAAGGAGAATGTATCAGAGCTGAGAAAGAAAGGTTTACGTACAATATTACCTGACATTTATAGAAAGAATATATGTTCTACATAGAGAAAACGCTTTTAATGTTGACTTAGCGGTACATTACAGGTGATCTTTATTTTCTGATTTTTTATTACCTCTATGTTTAAATTTTCTATGGTAGACTTGTATTTTTTAAAAATAAGGAGTGTGCTGGATATTATTTACCAAGGAAAGAAGACTAGTTAAAGTCCTGACAGTAATTTAAATATAATTCTTTAACTCTCACAGTTAAAGTTTTGTCCAAGTCTAGAGTGGAGGTGTCATCAAATTTATTTTCTGTGATGCAGTAATCATTAGGTTAAAATATTTTTGCCTAAATAGAGTAGTGATTTAATACGAATTTAGTTAAGAGGAATTTTGTATCTTAAAGTTTTGAAACTGAGAATAAATATAATGCTAATGGTTGCCATATTGAATAGCACAGCTCTGGAGTATCTACAATTTAGAAATGTAACACAAAATTTTTTAAAGTCTTCTAGCAATACTGGAATCTATGAATATAAATACACAATCAATTTCCTTTATTTTAAATAGGATTGTTGATGGAATTGAAGATGGAAACAGTAGTGAAGAAAGTCAGACTTTTGACTTTGGCTCTGAACGAATCAGGTCGGAGCCCAGAATTTCTCCTCCTCTAGGGGGTAAGCTCTATATTTAGTCTCTTCCCAGGGGGCAAGATTTCTTTTTAACTTGTAATGTTTTCCATTGTCATTTTGTTGCCTTCTCATTCTCAGAATATTCTCTACATGATAGAACTTCACCAATGCCATTAAATAATTTGACTTAAGTCTGTGCCAGCTCCAAATTATTACGGTATTATTTGGAATTGTTCCTTTGTCTAGCCTAGATGGCCTGTCATTTAGCAGCCAAGGTGAATTTGGTTAAGGAGACTCAAATTTCTGCTATTTGACAGAGGTTAACCATGTTTTCCTGTTATAAATTTAGACTAATTGACAAAAACATTACCTAGAGGAAATGCCATTTTGGTTGTGCTCTGTGGGAACATTGTTTATATTTGAGGTTATATATCTGCAATTTGTCAGAGGATAAAGAGCTTCAGAAGTATTAATGTGTAAGCGTGTTGGAAATGATGGAGAGCTAGATGAAGCACTAACCTTTAGTGATGGTGAATTAATGTAAGGGCACTCCTAACCCTGACCCAAGCTTCTCTCCTCTCAATCATGAGTTCATTGCTCATAAAAAGGAAAGGAATCTGTAGACATGATGAAGGCTAGAAATGCCAAACTCTAAAGACACACCTGTATTTGATAAAGACAGAAATAGTGAACAGGTGTTAAATAGGCATAGGCAATCCAAAACAATTACCAGCAAACTTTCAGAAGCAAGGCCAGCAATCCCCGCCCACCCTCTCATCCCTTTGCTACCAAGTTCTAAGACCCTTGTGTTAGGATCTCCTGCTAATTAGAGAGTCCCTTTATAAACAAAGCCAAGCTCCAGAAAGACATTTGAACGTACAGGTCTGAGGATGTGTCTCTGTTTGGTAGAATACTAGTATTTCATCTAAATCAACAATTCTTTCTTTTTTTTTTTATTTCAGGGTATTATGAGGGTACAAACATTATGGTTACACTTTATGTCTTTGCCTCACCCAAGTGAGGATTAAAGGCATGTCATTCCCCCCTACAATGCTCCCCATGTCCTTTAGTTGTGGGTTTACCCCCCGATCCCCCTAATCCCTGGAGGGTATTACTGCCATGTGATCACCCTAGTGTTCATCAGTTAGTACCAATTTGATGACAAGTACAAGTGGAGCCCATTCTTCCACTCTTGTGGTGCCTCACTTTGGATAATGGGCTTAAGTTTAATACAGGAAAGTATAAGAGGTTCTAGATCACTGTCGTTTCTTTCTAGCATTCATCATCTTTTGGGGAAACTGAAGCATCTTTGTAAGAATCCTTGATTGAGGGGAGGAGAATACAAGAGGTGGAGTACAATCTTATTAATTCAATTGACTTACATATGTTAATATTACCCTGTTTGGGGCAAGAGTCAAAGAAATCATAGTTATCATCAAACTGGTGTAGTCACAATGCAAGCTTGTGGTTTGTCTCAACCAGACATTTTCCTTTTTGGCTCACCTGGAGACAATGCACAGAAGCTCACCACTTCCATCCACCTATTTCTGGTCCCACCACCCTCTTAGCTTTCTCCTCTCCCTTACCCCATCACCTACCCCTACACTCAGCCATTCAAGCAACAAGTTTTCTAGACTCAACCTCCTAAATATCTCTCTGTCCGAGTTCTGTCCGAGACTTTCTATAGTTACTGCCTCCGCTCTGCCTGGCCACATCTACTGCTGGCCTGCGTTGTTACTAAAAATCTGTCCTCTGTTCTCACACTGTTTTCCATGCAGAGTGAACTTTTCAAAAATGCAAGTTTACTTATACTACCCTACTCCTATGCTTAAAGCCCTAAACTGGCTTTCTGTTATCCTTAATATGAAATTCAAACATATTACATAATTATGTGTTTCAATGTTTCTTTTCCCTGCTAGAGTCTAAGCTTCATAAGGGTCAATTATATTTTCTTTATTCGTCTCCTCCAAAGGAGGACTAGCCTAATGTGTATGGCCTGCAACCATCTATTGAATGAATGGATTATCTCTGCAAAATATTTCAGCAAAATGAGCTCTTATTACTCTGCTTTAGACTGTTTTGAAAGAGATTGCTTCCCCCACAAATAAGTTTTCTACTTGTAATTGACCAGAATTAGGATGGTCATATCATAAAATATATATTTATATTCCATCAAATCCTTTCCACTCCAGCTGGCACTGACTCATCTGTATTTTTGTCCTTGACAGAAACAAATGTATGTGGGAGAGTAAAGTACAGAAAAAGTGGAGAAGAGAGAACTAAAAAATGGAAGAAATTACTATTTAGACTGACACAGGAAGAGACAGGAAAACTGCAGTGGAGATTAGTCCCTGAAATAGAGGTAGAAGGAAAGTGTGTCCATCTGCGCAGGAATCAATGTTAGGAAAGGGAAGAGGAGGAAAAAAAAAAAAAAAAACAGCGATATGATGTGATATGTTTTTAGAGAATGGTCAAAAAAGAAAAAATGTGTCATCTTGGGACATGATAGTGATTGTGTTTGGGGGGAATGTAAGATTTGTCGTGGACACATCCAATCACTGTAGTCATAGTCGTCACCATGATGTGTGCCTAGTTCTAAAGAGTATAACAAATGCCAACCAGAGGAGTACAAGAAGCTTGTTTGATTTCAGGAAGACAGAACTTACAGCACACAAACATCAGAAAAGGTTAAAGGTGGTAGCTTGGGGCTTCCTTTCATATTCTAATTACCTCCATCCTCAAATTTGAGGCTTATTCCTAAAGGACCCGTTCTGTGCATGTGTTGCTTTTCCAGACCCAGAAATTGGAACTGCTGTTCTCTTCATCAAAGCAGAGGAGACCAAGCAGCAGATAAACAAACTCAATAATGAGGTAAGGAGCTCTTTCTTTCATCATGCTGGAGTGGGAGGAGATGTAAATTCTAGTTACCAGAAGTGGTATATTGTAGTAGTTGCAAGCAAGCACTCTGGTGTCAGACTGCCGTGAGTGATGCCTCACTCAGCCTCATACAAGCCGTGTGACCTTTGACAAGTCAGTTCTCCCCCTCACACTTCATTTCCCCATATGTAAGAAGTGGATACTAATAATTTCTGCCTTGTGACCCACTGTGATATTAAGTAAGATAATCTAGGTAAATAACTTAGCATAAAGCACTGAATAAATGATAATTATTTTAATTAGTGTCATAAATATATTGATATTTGGTTTAATTGGTGCTTTTTTGATTTTTTTGTGACCTTTGACTTTCAATGAGCAAAATTGTTAGTCCACAGAAAAATGCTATTTCTTAGAGTAGTCAAATGTCCTACACTGTGTTCTTTTCTCTGACAAATATTTGCTGTGTAACCTTGGGCACTTTACCTCTCTGGATCTTACTATCTGTCCATGTAAAATACGGTAAATTTTTAACAACTTTATTGAGGTATATTTACATATCATCAAATTCATTTATTTCAAGTACACAATCCGATGAGTTTTAGTAACTTTATTGAGGGGGTCAGTTATCACCATAAATCAGTTGTAGAATATGTCTTATCCCCCCAGTAAAATCTCTCATCCCCATTTATAGTTAATCTGTATTCTCATGTCCAGCCCTAGGCAACTGCTTATCTACTTTATCTCTATAAATTTGCCTTTTCCGGTCATTTTATATAAATAGAGAAATAAGGTAATTTCTTGATTACCTTCTTGATTACCTTGACCCTTCTTCAATTTGGGTCTCTCCCCTAAAGAAACAAAATGATCTAAAACAGATTATGAGACAATATATATGTAAATTGTTTGCTTGGGAGGGGTGATCCAGGAAGCATGATGAAAGAATAGAGAAGTATGACAGAAAAATAGGAAAGCAAAACATAATAGTGTGTTAATGAGATGGTTAAACCTGTGGCCATCTGAGGCTCCTTCTTGCTGGATAAGGATGGAGAGACTGTGTGGGACAACTCAAAATTGTTCCACCAAGGCACAAGGAACAGTGAAGTTAAGACTCTTCATGCGGGCCTTGCTACAGAGGAGACGGAAAAGATTCCTCTGGCAGTAACGTGCATTGAGACCCGAGCCTGCCTTTGGTGGCCTTCAGGGTAGACCTAGGCAAGGGCTGTGAGCATGTACAGGCAGTGTAATAGACTCCCCTTCTAGGACTAAAGCTTTATTTTATCTGATGATCTCTTGGGGGAAAATGTAACTATGTGAGATTTAAGAGAAATTCAGCTTTAAGAAACAATGGTGATTTAGCACCTCTTGTATTATCCTGGATAGAGCTGGAACGCATTCTACTAAATGAAGTATCCCAAGAATGGAAAAACAAGCACCACATGTACTCACCATCAAATTGGTATTAACTGATGAACACATAAGTGCACATATAAGAATAACATCTATTGGATGTCGGGCAGGGGGAGGGGGCAGGGGGAGGAGGGGATGGGTATATGCATACACAAAGAGTGCAATGTGCACCACCCAAAGGGTGGACATATTTGAAACTCGGACTTGGGGTGGGGGGGGGGGGGCAAGGGCAACATATGTAACCTAAACATCTATACCCCCATAATATGCTGAAATAAAAAAAAAAGAGAGAGAAATTAAATTCATTTAATCATAATCAGTTTCCAATTATGTGTCATAATGGAGAACTGAGGAACTTGTCACAAAATCTGCAGATTTCCCTTAAACCTGTGTTTCTTCAGCTTAGTGGAGATGAATGTTTTACTGCCATCTCTCCTTCTGCACCTACACTCTCTGGAGTGAGATTGTTGCTAATAAGAAGTAAGGGAGTCAAGGGGCAGACTAACAAGACAGGAAAGGAAAAATTAGGTGGTCCACTATCTGGATCAAAAATCCTTAAATTTTAAGTATTTGACCATGTACTGGATAACTCAAATAACCTCTTGTTTAAAATATACCAAAAAAACAAAACAAAACAAATCTAAACATCCTATTGGAGAACTGGATATTAACCTTGTATTGTACAGTTTCTCTTCAGATATTGTTCTCAGCTAAATCCATCATTAATACCATTTGAATTCTTTCCTCTCACAGTTGAGAAGAGCATTTAATGATTTTAAGAACTGGTTGGCCTGTATCTTAGTTCAAGTATTAGAGTTAGTGATGTTCTGGGGGCGGGGGGTGTTTATATCTTCACCTTTCAGAATGTAGATAATTTTTTCAGGTTAGCACTACAAATCCACACACTATATTACTTTCCCTTGACAATGTGAGCTGTTAAAGATCTGTTAAAACAGGTAACTACTTGAAAAACAAAATGTGTCTCCAGTATGATTCTATATTCATGATTGCTTTTCTAGTGAGATGACAAATCTTCTTATCTTGTCATACATTGAAATAAAAAGGGTAAGATAAAATATCAAGGTCCAATTATCCTTCCCTAAAGAATTAGTTTTCTTTATAGGAAAATATCTACTCTATTCATAGTTGAAGCTTAAGTAGAAAAATCTTATCCTTTACATATAATTTAATTTATACACAGTCTTGATCCTTTGGATAGTGAACTAAAATCTGCCAAGACAGGCAGAATAAAAATAAAATTGACTTCAAACTGTAAAATTATCCCTCTTCTAACTTCTTATTTGTTGTTTCCTTACATCTCCTGTAATGTTGTTTGTATAGAAAAAAACAGTGTTTTTAAAAGTCCAAGTCTAACTTTCCCATTTTGCCTATTTCCTGCTATTCACATATGTGATCATTTGATTGCTCTATTCTTTGGTTAGTAGCAAGCAAGAGAAGAATTGATAATAAACGTGGGATGTACTGCATAATAATAACTCTACCATCAAAAGGGCAACCCCAAATATGTATGAGGCATGTTGTGCAGACTGTGGGGCCTTGTGCGAGGTGTCAGACCATTGTGGAATCCCTACCCTGATTACTGATGCTTGCTTAAAGATTTAACATATAAAGAAATTGGTCATTGGTGTGTACATTTCACAATCATAGTCAGCTGGATAAATATGGAACAAAAGTCATAGAAGGAACAATATTGGTAATTACTTACATTCACGGAATAGTTAGGAGGTTTAAAAGATGTAGGGCAACTGCTAATATTAGAACCCTTTGATGACATTGCCATTGCTTTACGGCAGAGTAAGAAATAGTGAGATTCTAAGGAAATTCTTTGAAAATAACAACAAAAAGTCACTATGGGGGCAAATGGCTGCGTAAGTTAAATGTTCCACTTCTGAAAAGGTTTATAGGTAAAGGTTAGAGTGCTTTCTCATTTCTGAAATTTGGCTGATCCAGAAAGACACTGCTGGAAAGCCTAACAAGAGAAACTGTGCTTTGGCACAGCAGGCATAAGGCATAAAACACACTGTTGGAGAAAGAGAATTAGCTTTGGAAAGAGACAAATATTTAGATTCCTAATCTGCGATTTCAACAAGGTGTTTACCTTCCCTAAGCTCAGATTTTTCCTCTATTAAATGGTAATCATAAGATTGGTTGTAGAGGATTGTTGTGAGAACCTAATACCACATGTAAAGCACTGAGCATGATCTCTTCCCTTAGTAAGTGGCTAATTCATGCTGATTCCTTCCTCATACAAAGTTATGCTTCTATTCAACAAAGAGTGACTCTCATATAAGCATCTTCTAACAGTGCCATGTACTGAGTAATATGGCAGAGAGAGAATCAATGTTTATGGAATAAAATGAAAATGAATGGACTTAAGAAGAACATGTTTGATCATGAAAATGACTGCTTTCACCTAAGAGACTTTCTTTTGCTATCAAGATACTCAATATGAAATTGTAATAGAAAATAATATGGCAGATTATTGATATTTCAAAGCATCTTATTTTAGCTAAATTGTTTGATGTAATTATGCCACCATATTAATTTAAAAAAAAAAAACAGTCTGTAAGGCTTATAGATTTAAGGGCAAATAGATAGCAATTGAACAATGCCTGACCATTACCTGATATTATAATAAATATATAAATGGCAAAATGGTGACAAAATCGGGCAGAAAATAATCTGCCAAGCTTAACAGAAAGATAAGCATAGCCATGTCTGTATTTTCAAAATGAGAGAATACAGGTGGCCTGTTAGGGCATCCTTGCTCACCAAAGTATACTTTGGCTTGAATGCTGTAATTGCCATGTTTTAGCATTTTATTTTGCATGCATGTGAAGGAACCACAGTTAGTATTAGGCCATGTTAACCCATCTTGAGTCCTAAATATACTAGAGAGAAAGAAATGTGTAACATGTCTAAACAAGAAAATGAGCTTTGTAGAAATATAACAACTTACATTTTTTTATACAAAGTAGTCTGGCTTACACTATGTATTAACGCTGTTTTTAGACAAGTTTATTAAGATATAATTAATGTACCATACTACATATAATTCACTCATATAAACTGTAAATTTTGATGGCTTTTAGTATAATCACAGAACCGTGTATCCATCATCATAATCAACTTGAGAACACTTTATTACCCAGCAAAGAAAGCTCATAGCACATAGCCATCA